GACCGCGGCGGCGGCTGCCGCTGTTCCTGCCGCCCGTCAAATGACACGATCCAGACATGGTCGACACTACTCCGAGTTCAGTCCTGCAACTAATAGCTTTTCGGACGACGTTTCGATGCCAATATCCACCTCCCCGGAGTCACTGCACAAGTCTGCATCTACTTCAAAATCTGCTGCCCGTCGTGCCCGCGTGTCTGCATCAATGCACCACCAGTCTTCGACCGACGAGCTCACCGAAATTGATCAATTCAAGCAGGCAGATGTGTTCCGGGCGCGGATGGAGGCGTTGCGGTCTGACATGGGGGACGGGTGGTTGAAGGTGTTTAATCAGTCGCAGCTGGGTCCGCCGACGGGGGTGCCGTCTGGATAGTAGCTTTTGTGTATAATTTCCTTTGGACCATTGCTAGGTGTATACCATATTTCTGGGAGGGTTGTATGTTTTACTGTACCTTGCTCTCGTTATAGATGGCCTGAGGCCCTGAGTGATGACCGGTGATTGAGCGCCGAGGGAATTTCAGCCGTGGGAGTCCGAACTGTCGCGTGGCCTGTGTCTGGAATTTGTTTAGTCTGACGCGCTGTAACAGGGCGACCTCTCTTTCCTTTTCTCTCTGGCCACACGGCTCTCATCTCCCGTCGTTCTTTCCAGCTACACTCCTTCAAACCGCGAATCTCAATATGGGTGCTAATCTTTCAAAGGCGTTGGGTAGGTTTAAGCTCACAAATGATGCAGCCAAGGAATACTCACGCGTATCGCTGTAGGGAGGTTGTTTGGGAACAAGGAGATGAGGCTGCTTATGCTGGGTCTCGACGCTGCAGGAAAAACCAGTGCGTCCGTCTGCATTTATAACAGCATGTTGACGCGCTAACTGACATTTCTTGCAGCTATCCTCTACAAGCTCAAGTTGAACCAGTCCGTCACCACCATTCCTACAGGTCTGTCACTTCCCCTGTTGCTTTCTATGTAGCTAAGATAATATGATACGTAGTGGGTTTCAACGTCGAGACTGTAACATACAAGAATGTAAAGTTCAACGTGTGGGATGTTGGAGGCCAGGATAAGATCCGGCCGCTGTGGAGGCATTACTACACTGGCACACAAGGTCTTGTGTTTGTGGTCGATAGCCAGGATCGGGACCGGATAGATGAGGCGAAGCAGGAATTGCATCGAATACTTAGCGATCGAGAAATGAAGGACTGCCTGTTGCTCGTCTTTGCAAACAAGCAGGATCTACCAGGAGGTATGCGCTACTTCATCTATCCTAAAGGTACTGAGAGCTCGGCTGATCTTCTGTCAGCGATGTCACCTTCGGAGGTGACCGAAAAGTTGGGTTTGCATCGAATGCGCGATAGGTCGTGGTATGTTCACCCTAGGTATGTTGTATTGACTGTTCTGTAGTACACCCAGGGATTAACTATCTTTACAGTTGCGCTACGACCGGAGAAGGCCTTTTTGAAGGCCTGCAATGGCTCTCGCAGAATGTGAAGAAGCGTCAGCCATAGACTCCTTTCTTTCAACGTTCGAGAACCTAGTGCTTTGGTCCCTCTGCTTGATACCCCATCCTCTCTGGTGATCTTGATTCTCATGGCCCGCACGACGCATGCACGCTTGCACGACGGACACTTCGGTCCACACGTCTCCATCTTCTCGCTGTTAGCTACTCGATTTCTCTCGAACATTAGGGACGATCTCTATTTACCCTCCTCAATGATACACCTATGTATATGCATTTTAATGAACAAGCTGTCTCCTGCACTGTCCATTATAGTAGCTAAAGCCCGTTGCTATCGTTTGCGTGCCATAGTTGGGCACGGCGGCAAGTCCACAGTCGACACGCTTTCTGTGGGGGTTGTGGGGACAATCGAGTCGACTCAGTCGAGACGGCACTGAGTACCTGTCCTTATGCTCATGATGACGCCTTCGACTCAAGTGTAGTATCGACGTCGGGCCAGTCTCCGATGCGATCTCACTCTTTCCTCGATTCTTTCTCGCACTCTTGTCATGCCTTTGGGACTGCGAGCAGTGGCCTTGAGTAGAACATTCACCACCCGCGCCGTGGATGGGTTCACTGGTGCTGTAGGAAATACGCCTCTCGTGAGCTGTCGTTGAAGAAATGCGTGTGATTATGTATGAACCTATCCTATTCTCAGATCCGCTTAAAGAAACTCTCGGAGAGGACGGGATGCAATATCATCGGAAAAGCGGAATTCCAGAACCCAGGAGGTAGTGTCAAAGACCGTGCTGCCCTAGGTGTGGTACGGGATGCGGAGGAGCGGGGACTGTGCGTTTTCTCTACTTTTTCAAGCATTCTGACTTACGCCATCCACCATGTGAAGCCTAAAGCCAGGAGGAACCGTTGTAGAGGGCACGGCGGGCAATACTGGTATTGGCCTTGCCCATGTCTGCAGAGCTCGAGGATACAAGTGTGTGATATTCATGCCCAATACCCAGGTAAGGGTTCCAATTTTCTATCTTTCATCCTTAAATCCGTCTATAATATTTTGCATTTTGTAGAGTCAAGAAAAGATTGACCTTCTGCGTATGCTTGGCGCAGAAGTATATCCCGTACCTGCGGTCGCATACGAGAATCCGCAGAACTACAACCACCAGGCGCGCGACTTCGCAAGGGGCATCCCAAACGCTATATGGACAGACCAATTTGACAACACCGCGAATGCGAACGCGCATTACGTCTCAACTGGCCCAGAGATATGGGAGCAGACGAATGGAGAGGTTGATGGTTTCATCTGCGCGACGGGCACAGGTGGAACCCTGGCAGGGACGGGTAGGTATCTAAAAGAGAAAAGCAATGGAAGAACACAAATCTGGTTGGCGGATCCTCCTGGCAGTGTGCTCTACAGTTATGTGAGCAGCGGAGGAAAATTGAATGAGAGAAGCGGAGGATCCATCACGGAGGGTGAGCGAGCTTTACCATTATGCTGCACAGTCACTTACTGCTTAGTTTAATAGGAATCGGACAAGGCCGCATAACGAACAACCTGGGCACTTTCGTGAAGGATATAGACGGCGCGTTCAGTATTCCAGACGTGGAATCCGTCGAGATGGTGTACGAGCTGCTCGACAGTGAGGGCCTGTACCTGGGAGCAAGTTCGGCCCTTAATGTTGTTGCTGCTGTCAAGCTGGCACAGAAACTAGGGCCAGGTACGTGCAGTTGCATAGCTTCTCATGAATTTGCTCACGAAGGCGTTGCAACAGGTAAAACCATCGCTACAATTCTTTGTGACGGGGCATACCGTTATCAGAGCCGATTATTCTCAAAAGCCTGGCTGAAGGCGAAGGGATTAGAGGACGCAATTCCCCTGCATCTGAAGAAATATGCAGTATTAGACTGATGTTGTGTTTTTCATGGTACAATCGTTACATCTAACCTATCACACTGCTCGACGGTATTGGTTCTACGCTGAGACATCAGAGGCGTCCAATTGCTCTCAGGATCCGGCAATATTTATTAGGCTCGTTAGGTGGGTTCCTTTTCCTCAAACATTGAGTGCTGAGTGCTCTGCGATACTTGTCATGGAAAAGCAACCGAGCGTCATCATCACAACAGCAGAGTGTATAACTTCAGGGTGCATAAATGGGTAAATTAAGGCTAAATGCAAAAATGTGCGCTATAATATCAAGAATGAAAGACATACACCGTTCTTTACATAATCTCATCCAATGTCATATCCTCTGGTCCGTACTGAATCTCCGGAAGTGGCTCTAGCTTGCGTGGTCCGGTGGTTTCGCTGGAAGACGTCGGTTTGTCGACATTTTGGATATTTGTGCTTTGCATTGACAACGGGACTCGTTCAATTCGTGTTACCGTGGTACGTGGTCTTAATTCACGTGGAACCGCGGCAGATTTATAGAGCGTCAACTCCTGCTGAAGATCTTCGTTCTGTGCGTATGCCGCATCTCGGTCGCGGGTTAAGATGAGCAATTTCTGTTCAATAGAAGGACATTTAATTGATCAAGTATCTGCAGGAAAATGACGGCGAATGAGCACGCACCTGCTTCGTCTCGTGCAATTCCCTCCGAATCCGGTCAACATACATGACACGCTGGGCTGGGTTGTTGTGCCCGACTATCTCTGCATTGAACCTGCTCAGCCGAGCCGCTTCTTCCTCAGCCAGCGCATTTCGCTCAACGAGCGACTCAACCTCCTCCGCGAGTTTATCATACGCTTGTTGGTACTGTTCGGCTTGGGCAAGCTCCGTAGACAATCTGAAAACTATCATCGCATCGGCCCTGAGCTTCTCTGCGAAACACTTACTCATCAATCTCGGCTTGAAATGCTTCCTCCGCTAAACGATTTTTCTGCACTGTTTCCGCTAAACGCCTGCATGCATCTTTCTCCTTCCTCAACGCTTGCTGCAATGCTGCAACGTCTTCTCGTGCCTTGTCCTGCGTATCCGTAAGCTGTGATTTAAGAGAAATCTGGGCGGCTTCATGCAGAGCATTTGCTACGGCAGAGTCTGCAAGTTGCTGCTGCACTATTGTGTGGTGCGTCTGCAGTTCTGCAAGCGTCTTCTGAACACTGACGCACTTTGTCTCCCAGTCAGACAACTGCAATACATGCTGTCTAGCTTGATCTTCTGTAACATCCAAGTGTTTGAGGAAATTCGAACCATGGAATATCAAGGCGTGATTCACGAGTTCGTAGAAGTCGATCCAGGTCTGAAGGTCAGTGACAAATGTGTCTTTTGCGAGGACCTGAGAACGATGGAGATGCTCTTGAAGCCCGATAAAATCTCGCTCGAGACTCTTGTAAGGAAGTTCTCGCCTGTCTTCATGCACGAGATATGTTGCGAGGTCTCTGTAAAACGCAGCTTCTGCCTCTACTTCGCTCACCTGACGTACAAGGTAAGAGTTTTGCTCCTTCGTGTATCGAATTAAGTTGGCGAGCTCCACGACTTGACCCTCGGAGTTGGCGAGCTTACGCTCTAATCGCAGCGTTCGAACCTGAAGGGAGTTGACTTTGTCCTGCGTCTGCTCCTGTACCGATCTCGATGTGGTCGCAGAGGCAAGTCGACCATACTCTTCGGCAACGCGAGCCAGCAGAACTCTATGTTGTTCGAGCTTCTCCAGAAGCTCTTCCTCTCGACTCAACGCCT